TATCCCCTGACTTACCTTCCACGAACCTTCCGCGAGCCCTCTAGGCGCCGTCGTCGTCTTTGGAGGGTGGAGGATGGGCGCGATGGGGCAAGACGTGCTCCTCGGCGATACGTCGCTCCTGCTAGATGCGACCCGCCGACACTTCCGAGAGACACTTCCGCGACACTTCCGATACGTCGCTCCTGCTAGATGCGACCCGCCGACGCTGAGAGACACTTCCGAGAGACACTTCCGAGAGACACTTCCGAGAGAGCTCGACCCGCGACACTTCGACGAACCTTACACGAACTGCCTCCGAGACACTTCCGAGAGGCGTCTCCGAACCTGCCTCAAGCCTGCCAGCCCCGAGCGTGCCTCGTGAGCCTTCCGGGACCCTTCCGGGACCCTTCCGGGACCCTTCCGGGACCCTTCCGGGACCCTTCCCACGCAGGTACGTGCTCGACCTCGACGCGCCGCAGGTGCACCCGCCCTCGCCCAGCAGCGCTCGCGAGCGGGCCAGCCGCGCGTGGGCCGCCCGTGGTGCGCGGTCTCCAGGACACGTGGGCGCACGCACGCGGTGGCGCGCGAGGGTCGCGGCGGCCGCCGCGCCGCAGCGTGGCCGATGGGCGTGGATCGCCGCGGGGTGTGCGGCGGCGCTGCCTCTCCTCGCCCGCGTGGCTCACTCTGGCCTCCGCTGCCTCTGGTAGCGTGCCGGCGCGGCGCAGGATCCCGGCGGGGCGGCGGGCGGAGAGGAGGGGGGCGGCGCGAGCGGAAGCGACGGGAGCGGAAGCGACGGGAGCGGAAGCGACGGGCCGCCCTCTGAGCCGACGGGCGGGTGGACGGCGGTCGGCACCACGCCTAGAAACCACCGCCCCCTACCCCACCGTACCCGAACCCACCCTCCCCTACCCCACGGTACCCGAACCCATGGACGGCGATCGGCCACTAGGCCTAGAAGAAGACGCGTTCTTGCCTTCCGACTAGGGCTCGACTAGGGCTCGAGTGTGTTCCCCTGTATTCGACCAGTATTCGACCGTATTCATGCTTCCCCCGAATTCACGCGGTGCTCTGAAAACTTGACACAACACCGTCGTCCCGCCCTGAGGTTGGCGTATTCAGCGCGTAGGCCACCACCCCGTCCTCGGCCCGCTCGTCGACTACCACGGGCAAGTGGTGCCTCTGCTGGCGCTGATGCAGCACCTCGGGGGCAGCGCGCACGTCGCGCAGGCGGGCGCCAGCGGGAGCGAGAGCGAGGGCGGGGAGGGGAGCGGGAGCGAGGGCGGGGAGGGACAGGAGGAGAGCGGGAGCGAGGGCGAGCAGGGCGAGGAGTGATCTGGCAGGGCATGGACCATGGTCGCAGTGTCGTCTTGGCTTTTGCGGACCCTTTGCCCGCACCACTGCTCCCCAGCACCCAGGGTCGGCGGGGAGGCTGGCCGTGCATGCGAGAGACGGTTTGATGAGAGACTGTGGTGCGGTGTGTGCTGCGAGGGTCTCGGTCCTGCCCTCTTGCCGTGCCATCCTCAGGGAATCGCGGCTCAAGCGGGAGGGAGCGGAGACAGTGGGCACCGAGCGAGGTCTGGGTGAGCGTCGTGTGAGACCTTGATGATTGCTTCTCCGTGCTCCGTCCGACTGAGGTCGGGCGGGCTTCAGGGGCGCGCTTCTTGCCGGGGGTTGCCGCAGCGGGAGTGGGCGCGAAACATAAGGTTATTTCCATCAAGTTGCGGGCCCGCTCACTTAGGGCGGACTTACGCACGTCCCCTCGTCTCCTCGATCGCGATTGCATGGCAGTGTGAGCCCCCTCTTCGCGGCAACTTACACACATGCCCAGCCTGCTCCGCCATCGACTCGGATCGCTCGGATCGCGCTCGCTCTCCACACTCCTGCCAACCTCGCAGCGAGCTCAGGATGCTGCCGACGCGTTTGTGCACGCCTGGGTCTCCGGCGAGCCGCTCTCTTCGGAGCGCTTTCCTGCAGCGCCCGCGTCGGTGGACGAAATGTACCAGACGCACCTCGCCATCCAGCAGCATCCTCTCGTCTCGACAAAGCTGGGAGGCCTCGGCGACACACGCCGGGCGCCGAGCAGGCAACTCTGTCAACCTTTGCCGATGACATTCATTCCGCTCCTTCTCCAGGCGGGTACAAGCTGGGCGCCATTGGCGGCGCTGGGCAGCCCTGCATCTACGCGCCGCTCTTCAGAAACTACCTGGTGGAGGCACCGAGACGCCTCCATGGCACAAGAATCCTCCCGTCGCTTAGGCGCCACTAAGCACCCTGCCGCCGCCTGCGTCGTCCCCGCTGCTTAGGCGCCTGGCGCCGCGTTGTCGGCCGCCGCGATCCGACTCTGGCAAGTGGAGCCCGAGTTCGCTATAGTACTTGGGCGAGACCTCCCCACGCAGCCTGACGGCCGGCCACACAGCGTCAGCGACGCTTGGGCTGCGGTGCACCAGGCGTGTGTCCGCATCCCCACTCGGAGGGTAGTCTTGCAGCCTCGCGCATCTCGCTCCACGCCACTCCTCTCGCATGGGATGGCGTGGCGGCGTGCGCGTATCCCGTCCCCAGGGTCGAGGGGTTGACGCTGGCGCTCCCCTTGCAGGTGGTGCTGTGTATCGAGTGCTGCGGCGCGAGACACGGCGAGCCCAGCGCGTGAGAGAGAGCGCCCGCTCGTCACGCCCTTGTCTGTGACCAGGCAAGCGCGGCAGGCCGGAGGCGTACGAGGCGTCGACCAAGCTCGGGTCATACTCGGACACGCTCAGTTCCGGCGACAACTTGCCCCGCGCGCTTTGCGCGAACCGAGGTGAGGCGCCAATGCATGCGTGTGCGAACAGGCGGCGTCGTCCTCGGCCCGCGGCTAGACGCGTCTGCGCTGAGGATAGACGATTTGCGCGGGGCGGCGACCCTCTCGGTCAACGGCGCCCCCGCTGCGCAGGGATCGGGGGCGGCAGCTCCAGAGGGAGGGCCTGTAGAGGTGCGTCGGTAGAGCGTTCGGAGCAGCGACGTGTAGCATTAGGGGCGAGAAGGCTCTCGAGAGGGGCCGTACTAGGGGCCGTACTGAGGTGGAGCTCGCAAGCGACTGAGCCCCAAGAGCATGCTGCGCCGTGGCGCACGGGAGAAGATCACAAATTGCCCCGACGAGAGCTAGGCGCTCGCGTGGCTCGCCAACCACCTCAACGGACGCGGGCTGGAGCTGCGCGCGGGCCAGCTGGTCGCCACGGGTCAGACGTGCAGCACCAAGGCCGTGCGCGCGGGCGACCGTCTGAGGGCGGACTTTGGACGGCTAGGCAGCCTCGAGATGACGGTCGCCCCGTAATTCCCGTAGAAGCCTCGAGGTGAAGCGGCTATGACTCGCACACGCGGCCACGTGGAGAGTTGGCTATGACACATTTTTCTCTTGTGTCTTTGGGCCCGCCCCCGGGGCGCCCCGCGCCCGCCGCGGGCCCCCCGGGGTGATGCTCCGATAAACCCTCCGGATCTTCGACAAAAGTTGGATATTTCTTTTTTAAAATTGCAAGGTGTGAGTAAGAGGTTTATGATAGGGCTACTACGACGAACTATGCGGCAATCGACTGGGGGGCAGCCCCCCAGCATATCGTCCCGCCTCGGCGGCACACACTCGACGAGGACAGTCCGGCCGCCGAGATCGTGTCGCGCGCCGGCGACGATTGCGGCGTGGTCGTTTTGAAGCGAAGATGGCACGACCACCGCCCTGCTTCGCAGACCGGGCGAGGAGGGGCCTGCTCCCGTCCCGCGAGGAACAGGAGGTCTCCCCCCCTCACCCGGCCTGAGCAGCGGCGGATGGACGGCAGCCCCTTGAGTCGAGGGCGGCGCGACCATTGCCGAGCTCCAGCGACCAAAGGCCCGGGCGTCTGCTGATGGTCTCGCCGCCCCGCTCCGCGCCGCCCGCCGCCGCGCCGCGCCGCCGCCCGATGATTATTAAGTAATAATTAATTACCAAATAAGTAATTATACCACCAGCAGCCGCGCCGCCCCGCCCTGCATCGCCCGCTGCCTCGCCGCACCGCCGCCTCGCGCCGCCCGCCGCCGCGCCGCGCCGCCGCTTGCACGCGTAAAGCGAGGCGTATGCGTGACGCATCACTGAGCCTCCACCCGGCTTGACACGGCACCAAAATACACGACGTCTCAGCGACGTCCTACGAACCGTGGGCATGGATGTGCATAAGGTGGCCGACAATTGCATTAGTGGCTCTTACATATCCATAGCGGGACTAATAACCTCCCACACACACACACACACACACACAGTGTGGTGCGAGGGAGTTTGGTTGTAAAATCTTTTTGTGTGCTGTGAGCCGGCGTTATTTTTTTTTTTGAGCTTAGCCTTCGATGTTATGAAACAACGCAAGGCGGACATGGCATATCGCTCTCGGGCTCACAGACATCCCTCACACCCGCCGCACACCCGCGCCCCCGCGCGCGCCCCACCTCGGCCGGGAGAAAGGGGAGTGACAGTTTGGGATGAAAGCCCGAGTATGTTGAGTCCTGGCTCAACAACGCAGATAACAAGAGGGGGTGGTCCGGCTCCCAAGTCCGCGTGATTTTTTCTTTTGCTTTTTGGCGCGCCGCTTTTGGAGTCCTTGCCCTCGCATGCGCCGCGCCGTGAGTGCGGCTAGGCACCTGCTGCAGAGCGTTGCCGTGGTGCTCTTCTGCTTCCTGCCGCTGCTGCCGTTGCTCCTGCTATTCTTCGCCATTATCTTTCCGCCACTAGCCATCGCCGGCTCGCTTGTCTCCGGCGACGATATCGGCCTGCCACCTGCCTGGCATCGCTGGCGCCGGCTGCCTCTGCTCGTCCGGCTACCGTTCGTCCTTTTCGTGCACCTCCCGATCGGCATGTACTGGCTCCTCGGGTTTATTGTCGAGGGCTTCCTTCTGAAGCCGGCAGCTCTCCTCGCCTACGAGCTCTTAGCCCGCGGCCCTCCTCGGTCCACAGAGCCCTGCGAGTCGGATGTCGAGTCCAACGAACCCAGCTCTCGGCGTCCGGCGCCGGCCAGCGAGGACGGAGGACGCTATCGGGAGCACGACTCAGTTTGGGCGGCGCTCGAGGGCGACGGGGACAAAGTCATACGCGGCGATGTGCGGTTGCTTAGCCTCTCGTGGCTGATGGGGCTGGCCGACCAGAATGGGGTGCTGCCGCGCCGGCAGGAGCTGCCCGAGGAGGCGTTTCTGGACGCGGCGCGGCTGAAGCGGATAGAGGCCGGCGATGCAGCCCAGCCCTCCCCTGTTTGTGGGGCGAGTGTCCGGAACCTCCTGTGAACCTGCCTCTAGGCGGGCGCGAGGCGCAGCCTCGATGTGCGCCGGTTCGAGCGCGTCTTCGCCGCCTGGAGCAAGGGCGGCGGCGGCCTCTCCCCCTTCCTCGGCTTCATGGCGACCCCGCTGCACAGCAGGCGCAACGCCGACGGGCTCCTTCCGATCGTCTCCGTCTCTAGAAGCGGAACACGTGTCCATGGGTAGTCCAACTAGGGCTCGAGAGGACGCGTACTCCGCTGTATTGGGCCGTGAGTACTCACTGTAGCACCCCTCGTCGTCACACGGTGCTCTGAAGACTCTGCACAGTACCGCCTTCCCGCCCTGAGGCTGGTGCATTCACCGGGCAGGTCTCCATCTCCTACTGCTGGCTCGAGGCCGCGCATCCGGATCGGGAGGGCCGCCAGCTGCAGCTGCTCTGCCGCAAGCTGCGGAGTCTGTACGGCGGGCGCGGCCTGCTCGGCGCGTGCCGCGAATACGGCTTCTCCGACATGGTGAGCTGCCTCCCGCGCCTTGCCCACCGCCACTCCCACTCCCTTCCTCACCGCCAGCCCCTTCCTGGCTCGCGGAGGGCGTCTTCCTCGACTGGTCCTCGGGCTACCAGAAGGACCCGGCGCTGTGGAGAGGGTGGATGGCGGACCAGGCGCTGTACGCCAAGAGCGACGGCGCGCTCAGTGAGCAGCAAGCCGCCGACCGGCGCGCGTACGAGGCGAGCCGAACCGCGGAGCAGAAGGCCGCCTTTGATCGCATGCTGAGCAACACGATGGATCTGTGGTACGCGCACTCCGCCATCACCGTGGTGCTGCTCACGCAGCTGCCCGACGAGCTTCCCGCCGGCTTCGACCCGAGCCGGACCTACGACAGCCGCGGATGGACGACCTTCGAACGGTGCTCCGCCGAGTTAGCAAAGATCAGCTCTTTGCAGTCGGCTCGGTGGAGCCTTGTCATCGACGTCTCTGACGAGGGCGGCGGCGCGGAGCGGCGCCTTCCGACGACGCCGCAGCGCATGGCGAAGCTGCTCGCCGGCTGCCGCTTCACCAACGGAGCAGACTCCTCCCTTGTGCTGCAGCTGTACGCGAAGACGGCGGCCGCGGTGCTGGGGACGGTGAGTGTCCTCGGGCACTCTCCCGTCCTCTCACACGTTCATAGTGCACTCACTTTCCCTCAAGCTCGTCACACTCACACGTTCATAGCGCACTCACTTTCCCTGTCCACATAACTCACTCTTCACACTCTCCCTCCTAGGTGAGAGAACTCAGCTACGTAGGGCTGCCGCTCGTGCGCGGCGACGAGTGGACCTCGCCGACGCGCCTCGCAGAGGCCCTCAACTATTGCGAGCGACTGCAGGAGCTGGCAGTCTGCGGCGCTCGTCTGGACGACGAGGGAGCGAGAGAACTCGCGGCCGGGATCGACCATGGCGCGCTGCCTGAGTTAGACATACTGTCGCTCAACGGCAGCCGCTTTGGCGCAAGGGGCGTCGCGGCCGTCTGCAGTGTCTTCGAGCGGGGCGTGGCGCGGAGGCTGACGCTCCTCACGCTGATGGGCACGCCCATCGGCGACGAAGGGGCGGCGGCGCTGGCCTCGGCGCTGGAGACACGGATGCTGCCTCCGAAGCTCGCGCTCTCCGTCTCCCTTTGCGATGTCGGCGATACGGGTGCGAAGGCGATCGCCGCTGCGCTGCGCCGCGCAGGCCCGGGAAGCCGCTGTCGCGTCTTTTGCTACTGGAACAGGATCGGACTCGCCGGCCGGTCGGCGCTCCTTGGGGCGCTCGAGGCCCAGCACGGGCCGGCGTTTGACCACTTGCTTGCAGGGACGCAGCACACTTGGCTGCTTGGGTCGGCGGCGTTCGTGCGCGCGATGGCGAGGGGGTTGCGCAGCGCTAGCGAGAGCGGTACCTTTCTGCCCACGTGAGGCACAATCGTCTGTCAGTGTGTTTAAAGAAAGAAAGAAAGAAAAGCGGGGCCTAAGCGAGCACTTGGAGCACTTGGAGTGCAGTTGGTAGCCTCACACATCCAACAGGGCCAGGGAGCTAAGGTGCTAAGCGGAAGCGCACCCAGCGGGCCGGATGATCGGGATCGGGTGTTGCGGGCAAGAGAGCCCTAGCCCTGGGGGTGCGCGTTCGCAGGGAAAGGGCCGTAAAGTAAACACGGGTCCCCGAGGGTTAGCTCTGCGCTCCGGGTTTCCCCTAGCAGCGGAACGCCCCCTCTACTAGAGCTGTTTAACATTAACTTTGGGCCTAACAGTTGCGCTAGTGTTGGCTGAAAAATCCTTAACGTTGTTCAAGTGTTCACCCCAGCCCATGCTGTTACTGTTTGTTACTGTTGTTACTGTTGTTACTGTTGTTCAGCGGTCAGCAAGCAGAAAATGCCAAAAAACCCGGGTAAAACCCGAAAATACCTGGCTTTTCCCGGGTATTTTCGGGTATTACCCGCACTGGACGCTGGATGGAGATCGTCGTGGGTCACTGCCAGGCCTTCCTTATTGTTGTTCAGCCGGCCTAACGTTAGCTACTGTTGTTGGGGAGCCCCACTGTTGTTCTGTTGTTACTGTTAAAGGCCAAGGTAGGCCGCCTATTGAAATCGAACAGAGCGCTAGCGCTCTCTTCGCGCAAGCTCGCACGGCCTCTCACGCTCCGCTGCTGCCCTCTTGGCGGCTCTCCGCCCGCCAGCTCGACCAACTCGACCGCCGAGAGGCTGGGATTGGCCGGCGGCGCGACGCGTGGCCTCTGCTGCGGCCATCTCGGACGCTCAAGCGGCGCCAGCCAGCGGCTCGGCCGCGCATCCTTCACACACGCCGCCACGACCAAGATGAGCGGGCCCGGTGTCGAGTCATGGTGCGAGATGCATGTCAGGGGCGGCCGTGGCGACAGCAGGTCCACCAGACGGGCGTCAAAGCTTGCCGTCGGCGTGCTGTCGTGGCGAGAGCCGAGACCGCTGCAGAGGAGCCGAGTGCAGTGGCGAGCCAGAGGCTACCAGGGTCACCAGGTGGTAGCCCTTGCCCATTCTGAGCAGGGATGTGCTTTGATGGGGTTGTGCTTGAGCGTGTGTGAAGTGGGAGTGCGTGCCGGCGGTGTCTGTGGCTGAAACGGGCGTGTGTGAGGCTGCAGAGCCGTGGTATGAGCCAGAGTGAGCTTCATCACCCAAGATAAGTGCGGTTTGGGACGGCTCAGACTTGCTGCTGATGGGCCTGGGCCAGATACCGACAAAGCGGCTTCCCGGTGAGGCGGAGCAGTCGCGCAGGGCGAGACGAGGGAGGGAGCAGGACGTTGCGGAGATCAGCAGGAGGATGTACGAAGAGATTAGGAGCAGCAGGGACCCGAGGGACCATGTGGAAGACGGCTAGTGCTAGTCCCCCATCGGGAGGACGACCCCGGCTAGCCGCCGACCACACCCACAAAGAACCCTGCACAAAGACCGCAGGGCGGGGACCTGTTCCTTTTTACCCATCTCCTAGTAGAGGTGTCCGTTTTATTTATTTATTTACTAGCAACACTAGCATCTCGAGGACGTGCGTCGCCGACGCGGGAAATGGTGCCGAGACCGACCCAGCGCGTCGGCGGGCTCAGAGTCCTCGCCTACGAGAACCGCGAGAACGCCAGCTTCCACCGCATGGTGAGCGAGACGGCCGCGGCCACCGGCCTGCCCGTCACGATCGGCGCGATCGCGCCCGCCTCGCGACGCAACCTCATGTCCGGCGACAGGGAGCGCTGGCTGCGCGGCGTGCTCCCGACCGTGCGCGAGCGGCTGGTCCTCAACGTTGACGCGACCGACGCGCTGCTGCTGTGCACCGCCGAAGAGCTGAGCAGGAAGTACGACGCGCTCGCCGGCTCTTCGTCCGACCTGGTGGTCGGCGGCGAGGTGCGCGCGTGGCCGCGCTACTTCAGGTACGAGGGTGTCAGCATATACCGCAACATGCGGTCGGCCAACGCGACCGCCTACCCCGCTCGGCCCGACGGCATGAACGGCGTCCTGCCGCGCTACGTCAACATCGGGACGATCCTCGGGCCGGCGAGAAGCTACGCCAAGATGCTCGAGTGCATGCACGAGGCGCGCGCGCTGCGCGCCTGATTCCGCGCGGCCATGCTGCACACCGCGTCGGCACGTCCGGACAGGCGTACGGCGGATACCCGGACAACGGCGCCGCCTGCCCCGCAGACCGGCGGGCTGACGGAGAGTACCTCTCGCCGCGCCAGTTTCGCCCCCCGGCGCGCCATCTAGTGTGGCGACTTGCCCGCGCGCGCCCCGTGCCGCCGCGGCTGCCGCGCGCGCGCAGGAGCGCGCACCCGACCTTCCATTCCGGCAGGTGCGCGTCCCGGACGTGCACGAGCGCAACGCGACGCGGCTGGTGGCGGCGGACTCCTCGCTGGTCAACGAGCAGTCCTGCTACCACATGTACTTTATCGACGGCTCGCTCGGACGGCTGGCCGACGGCTGCCCGCGCCTGCGCATGGACTACAACGGGTCGGTCGTGGTGCACCTGCAAAAGGTGTCCGACCGGCTGCTGCTGCGCGCCCCACGGCCGGTGTGGGAGCCGACGGGAGAGGCGCCGTGCATCGTCCACGCGCCGGGCTCGAGCAAGTACGTGCTGCCCAGCCTGCAGCTCTGGTGGGACGTGGCGTGGCGCGGCCGGCTCGGCGAACAGTTTAGCGAGGCGGCGCTGCACGACCGCTTCCGCGCGCACGTCGCCGCCTCGACGCGCCCGGATGGACGACATGCATTCGACCACGCGCTGGCGGGAGCATACTTCCACCGCCACATGCTGCCCCACCTCATGGGACTGCAGAAGACCGCTAGCGCTAGCGACACTGGCGTGTAGCTCAGGTCTCAGGTGTAAAGCTGTAACGTACAGGGCCGTACAGTCTCAGTCGCTCCGTGCAGCGCCAGCGGGCCCCCCGATGGTCCGTTGCTGTTCAGTTGAAATTTAAAATAAAGAAAGTCGCACACGACCAGGCTGGTCGGCTACTCGATAGACATCATGCTCGCGGCCATGCTGCTCTCGTCGCCCGCTAAGCCCCCGGGCCGCAGCCCGCCCGTCTTCCCACCTTTGGCTAGTTCCATTTCACTGTGGCACAGCTCGCGTTACAAAACCTTGATTTTGACCATTTGCGCAAAAAGGTACATCTCGGTGCCTTCCAGAGGCAGCTGCGACCCCGCGGAGTAGACGGCGGCTCACAGCAGGTGGCGCGGTGTGCCGCCGTCCACTCGGCTGGGTCGCAGCTGCCTCTGCGCGTCCTGGGTATGTACCTTTGTCGCGCGCCGGAGACGACTCGACCCTGGGGTGTCGACGGGCCCCCGGGGGCGACGGGGGTGCTCTTGGGGGGGGTCCCCCCAGTCAAGGGGGTCTGGGGCGCAGCCCCAGGTAGCCCGCCGCAGGCGCCGATTTTTGGGAGCTTTTTTGACTGATTTTCATGAGGCGTTGCTACTATTTTGGGACCAGTTGAAGCCTAAAAATGGCTACAAATACAGTCACAGCAGCTGCTCGTCATGAGCTGCTACTGTGTGGCAGAGCCCAGAGAGAGGGCTTTCAGGAGCACTATTCAGTTTGATCCAGCTCAACGTTGCGGAGTAGTAAGACTGTTCCGTTGCCGTGAGCGGCCGGCGGCCGGCGGCGGCCGGTGCGGCACTCGGAGCACTCCGTGAGCGGTGACGGGTGCGGACGAGCGAATGAGAGGTCCCTTTCAGTGAGAGATAGGCAGTCCTAGTCCCTAACAACACATCTTCCACAGATAGCGACCTCTCATTCGCTCGTCCGCGCCCGTCACTGCTAGTCGGGGCACTCCCGGCGTACGGCCCGGTCCCGGTCGTCACTCCGGTTGCTCGTGTTCACACCGTCAGAACTCAGCTCCGCTAAGGATCCAGCGTCTGAGACTTGGGCATCTTACACAACTTTTGTAGTAGAGCACAATGGCACCCTTGCATCAAGTGCATCACTTCATTACTAGACCGTACTAGAGGTCCCCGAACGGCACGATGCGAAAAGGCAGGGCGAGGCGGATGGAGAAAGGAGTGCCGAGAAGGCCATGGTGGAGGGGAGGGACGGGAGGACGAAAGAAGGGCGAGGAGGACGAGCGGCCCGCACAGACCGCGAGCAGACAGCGCCTGCTGGCCATTTCGAGACATTCGCCAAGAACGCTAGCTACATGGGAGGGCTTCGTGAAGGATGGATTGAAAAACATTCGAACAAAGAAGAGGCGACGGGAGGAACCGGCGGAGGATGCAGTGACGTGACACACACACACACACACACACACACACACACACACACACACACACACACACACATCACACACACACACACACACACACACACACACACACACACACACACACACACACACACACACCCCGCTCACCCACGCGCACTGGGCCTTGCACTTTGAATGCCGTGGGGCTCCTGTCGTCAGACGTGGAGACGCGAGGGTTGCCCCCCCTTGCCCCACCACCTCGTGTGTGTGGAGAAGTTTACCTTACCTTACCTTACCTTAGAGCTGCCTGCCCCCCGAAACTGGCATGAGGAACCTTAATTAAATTCCGCACACATCCTGAGTCAAGGTGTGCTCTTTTCCTATTAAAACGAGGTAGGTAGAAAAGAAGAAAAAATCCAGGATTTCGGGAAAAATCCGGGATTTCCAGAGAACCAGAGAACCTGTACCCCCGACGGCGTTGCCTGACTGACATCACACCAGGCAAGCCATGGCACTTTCCTCGTCCGCTCACGCTCGCCGCGCCGCATTGCGCCCAACTATGCCGCCGCGAGCTGCACGTCTAGACCCCCGCGACGCCTATTACTCACGGAACCCGCCGCCCCCTCACCACCCCCACCACGCGATGCGCCGTCGCTCGTCGCAGCTGTACCCCCCTCCCGGCCTCGCACCGCCTGCCTACTCCCGCTCGCAGGTGCAGCCGCTGCCATCGAGGAAGCCGCGAGACGCGTCCGCTGCTGCCCATTCCCCACCCTTGTCTCGCGCGACCGCCCTCCCTCTCTTCTGGCAAGAGAGCGACCCGCTCTCGCTTGCTCGCCAATCGCCGCCCGGCTCCAGTCCGAGCGCCGAGGACGCGAGAGAGCGTGCCGGCGGCCTCGTCCCGACGCTCACGCCGCGACGTGATGCCCGTAGGCGCGGCTCTCCTCTCTCCGGCCCGCTCTCTCTTCCCATTCAGCATGCACGAACACCATGTTTGTGCAGCCGCGGCTTTGATTTCTTTTTATCCGTGTCGGCGAGGCTCGACATGGGGCGGGTAGGCGGGGGGGAGGCTGCGGGGCTGGGTGGGTGGGTGGCGGGCGGGCTCGAGATCGCGATCGTTTCGAGGGGAGATTTGAGATTTTATCATAGCCATATACCCCCATATACCCCCATATACCCCCATATACCCATATCTACCCCATATACCCCCCAGACATCTTAATACCAGTTTTTTACCCTCTTTCACATGGTCGCGATCCCGTAGGCGCTTGCCTTTCCTGCTACGAGCCGAGATTGACCTGAGATTGACCCTGCCGAGTCAAGTTCCCGCCCTGCTCGCATCTCTGCTGCCTCTAGAGAGTGCCACTCTGTGTCCGTAGCCGCGACGGCCACTCGAGAGCGCTGGCCTGCACCTCCCATCGGGGACACCACCCTCAACCGCTTCTTGACTCTCTGCAGGAATTCATTCGATCAACATGCTCAAAGTCGAGCTCGTGCCGGCCGCCGGTGACAAGCTCGTGCTCAAGCTCTCTCCTCCGCCGCCGCTTGCTGACAAGCAGGTGTGCGTTAATTTGCAGTGGCTCAGGGAGGGGGTATGCACGCGCACCGCTGCAACGCACGCTTCGCCTTCCCTGCAAGACTAGCCTCTCGCGTTCTGTGGCTGACAGGCGTCTCTGGCGGACAACACGACCGTCATCGACTCCGGCGAAGGCAACGCCATCGGCATCCCCTCCGAGCCCGTCTCGCTCAAGGATGTCATCGACACCGGCACCGGCGGCACCGGCACCGCCAGCACCGGCACCGGCAACGTCCCGCCCGAGGGCGAGCCCGGCCCGCTCAAGGACGGCATTGACGCGGGCGGCGGCAACGTCGAGGGCGAGCTTTCGCCGATGACGTCCTCCGCGAAGGTCGGAATCGTGCCGGCTGACGACGGCCGCATCACGCTCGTCATCTCCGCGTCGGTGTCGCCTTCGCTCCTCGGAGCCAAGGTGCGCGTGCGCACGCCAGGATCGTGATCATCCCTCTCCCGTCTCCGAGAGCCTGCGCGTACTCTCCCTCGCCCACAGGCGTGCGGCGTCAAGAACGTCAACATCTCCGTGGCAAAGTCTGGCCCGGAGGGCGTCCTCGAGAAGGACCCGGCCGCGGAAAAGGCGCCCGACGCGGGCGCGGTCGACTCGGACAAGGCCAGGGCCATGTTCGCCGCCCACGCGCCGAGCTCGCCCGCCGTTTTCTGGTCCAAGTTTACGCGCCCAACCGGCCCACCGACGGCCCCCACCGGCGCCGTCGAGGGCGCCCTCAAGAAGGGCATCCCTGCGGCAGAGTCTGGCGCTGAGGCCTCCGTTGACGAGACCGGCGCCATCAAGAACGACCCGGTGCCGGCCACCAAGGTCGCCACGGCCCTCAAGCCGGCGGCGGCCGGCGGCGCGCCGCTGCCGTCGATGAAGGAGTTTCCGGAGGAGGAGCCCGCCCCGGCGGCGAGCGCCTGGCATTCTGCGCGCCGGCGTCTGCCGACCCACTCTGTGACCCCATCCCGCGCGTTCGACGCGTAGGGCGACGCCGACTGGAACGTCTTGACCAAGGAGTTTCCAGAGGAGACGGCCGCCCCGGCGGTGAGCAACTCCCAGCACCTTTCTGTGCACACGCGGGTATTGCGGGGACACGCGACTCCACAGGCGTGTGCTTATTTGCATTGACCCTGTGACCTCTCGTCTGCCGCACGTCACGCGCGCGCAGGGCATCGACGAGTGGAAGATCCCCTCCCCGCTCCGCAAGCGCAAGGGCGAGTCCAACCTGATCGACCGCTCCAAGAACCCCACCCCGATCGGCCGCGTCGACCCCAACGGGTTCGCGGCTCTGCTCGGAACGGACCTCGACGAGGAAGACCTCGCTGACGTCGGCTCCGGCAAGGCGTCTGTCGACAAGGAAGACCTCGCTGGCGTCGGCTCCGGCAAGGCGTCTGTCGGCGACGCCCCGCCGTCGTCGGCGACGCCCTCGGCGCGTACTGCTGCCTTGCCCATTCAGCGCGCCCTGCTCGTGATTTACCCCCGTCCGCACTGTTCACAGGGCGCCGTGGAGGAGACCGAGCCGACCTCAACGCGCTCCGGCTTCCGCTTCGGCAAGTTCTGCTCGAACAAGCTGCTGTGCGTCTTCTTCTCCGTGGTGATCGGTCTGGGCTGCTCGGCCTTTGCTCTGTCTTCCTACGGCTCTGCCGGCGTCTCCGAGCTCCTCGACGCGGTGTCTGTGCCCGACGCGGCCGCGATCCCGGTGAGCAATAGAACTGGAGCGCAAGCTCCCAGCACGCCCTGACTCTCCGTCGCGGTGAGCAATAAAACTGGAGCGCAATGGCTCCCAGCACGCCCTGAATCTCCGTCACGTGCGCTCGTGTATCTCGCAGGTTCTCAACCTCTCCAACACCACGCCAAAGGACGAGTCCAGCCCGACAGTGCGCGGAACGGCGTTTGCACCGTCTGCGGCGCGCCCGACTATAGTTGACAAAATAGGCTCACACATATTGTTTTCTTAACGTACGCAGGTCGTCGACTTCTCGAAGACAACGCCGGAGATTGAATTCAAACCTACGCTCGCGACAAAGCGCGGGCCGCTGTTTGCTCCTTTCAACCCCGACACACCGGCTCTACCTGCAGGGCCGTGCGACCAGGGATTTGTCCCAACCTGTGAGCAAGCGGTGGGATTCGGCATGTGCGATCGCACTGATGTGCTTGCAACCTGCCTGGATAGCTGCTCTTACGCTGGTGACACCTCCGGCCATGCGCTGCACAACGAGGATAAAGCAAATCAACCGACCGACTACGGCACGCCGCTTCCCTCAAGCGCGGCGGATGCCATCTGCGAGGCGTGCGTTGCAGATCCGGACCTGCCTTGCTGCCACAATCACCCTCACACACCAAACCACCGCAATTTGAAGTCTTGCAGTCTTTGGAAAAAAGTAGGGAGGAGTTCTATTGCCTGCGGCATGCAGTTGCTCTTGTGCGTTGCGTTCCCGCACCTGCCTCAAAGTGGGGCACGTTGCTGCACCCGCGGCTCCGGGAAAGCGGAACTTGTGGTGAAGCGCAGGGATGAGGAACGGCCAGAGGCGTTTGTGTACTTCGCGAGGGTCGACGGTGATATGCTCGACACTGGCGTGCAGCAGCTTGCAGACGATGTGGCGTGCAAGTCGGGAAAGTGGGGGTGGCACACATCGTTGAAGACGCACGATCCCCGCGGGCCGCCCCAAGTCATGGGGATGGGGGCGTTCTTCAACGCCGGAGATTGGGAGCAGATGTGCGAGGCATGCAAGAACGATTTGGTGGATCGAGGGCTCGTGTGCAAAAATACTGTGCGTTGCGAAATAGCGCACGGGGGGTTGTTTGGCCTGGACAAATGGATGGTAGTGCAAGGTACACACACAAAGCCCGGAACGGAGGCGTGCGAGCACGGGCAGCAAGTGTCATGGCGTGATCAAGGGAAGCCGATCACTAAATGCATAGACGCAACGAAGGACAAGACTTACAGAAATGTTGAAATCGCCTGCCGTGGGAGCACAAAAGTCTCCGAAACGACTTGCAAATCGCAGCAGCCGTGGGGCCCTGTACACGAGATGTGCCATCATATAACCTACTAGGCGTCGCCTCTCTTCTCTCTTGCAAAGACCGCGGACCCTGGATTGTGGAAAATTGGCGATGTCACAAGCGACAAGGGCTGGGCGTGCTCCTCACTCCCAGTGTTGCGTTCCTTTGGCATGGGCGCTTCATGTAACAAGCTGAGGCTTGCTCCGCCTCCGAGGAGCCTACAGACCGTACTTACAGGACTGGATAATGCGAGACCGTGCAACTCTACTTTGCGCTATGGCCTGTCTTGCTTCCCCGAGATGTCGGATCCTTCAGGCCAATGCACAAGGGGGTCTGTCAGTGGAGACCTTCACAGCTATGCCTTGCTCCTTTAGGTGCTCTTAGTATGTTCTGACTCATCCGTCCGAGACTGCCCGAGTACACTGCCTTGTTATTCTTTTGTGCTCGGCGTGTTGTCTGGTGCGAGTTGTACCCCTCTCTCTGTACCCCCATCCAGAGAGAGCTGTGCTATATGTTGCCTTTTTGTCTTCTCTCTGGCGCTCCCGCTCCTCGGTCTCAGCCCTACCTGGCCGTTCTGTATTAGAGTATAGGATGGCATCCTTCCGAATAGAATGGCGTCTCGCGCGCGCTCACCCGGCCGCCTCGCAGCCCCAGGGGCCGGGGGGCGCTTGCCGGGGTTGGGGTTGGTCACACACAGGCGCCAGTTTAACGTGGCGAGCCAGAGGAGTCACACAGGAGAGCCCCCATTTTCAGCAGTAGATGGGCCGCCGTGAGGGCCCATCTGTTCACGATCTAGGAGATTGAGGAGATAAATTGGCCCAACCGTGTATTCGTAAACAACATCCTCCTCGTTGCTGAAGCCACAATCCTCTGCAGTCTCGGCGGCGCGATTCCGCATCTCTGTTGGGGTTGCCCCTCATGCCACGTGAAAATGCCCGAAGATTGCCTGATGCCCCAATCCAACGGTTTTCCCCACAATATTACGGCAAAGTCCATGGCCCTCAAGCCGGCGGCGGTTTGCGGCGAGACGCTGCCGTCGATCAAGGAATTTCCGGAGCCCGCCCCGGCGGCGAGCGCCTTGCTTCTGCGCCGTGCGCCCGCCGACCCACTCCTTTACCCCACCCCGCTTTCCATTGCGTATGCTTTGAGTGGGCGCGTAAGCGCAATCCGGCACTCATCCCGGCGATGCGGTTGGTGTTTGGTCGACGCAGCTTCCTCCGTCTGTGCAGCGCGGACGGACCGCTCCAGGACCCTCGGGCGGCCGGACCGAGCGACGCCGACGCACCGTGGGACCCGCTCAGCCTGGAGCCGCCCGGCGAGGACGCCGACGGCTACATCCGGTCGTGCTGCGGCGGCGCCCAAGGGCGCGCCTTCTCCGGGATGTGCACCACCGGAGTCAAACACGAGATCGACAACATTGTGCAAAAGAAGAACCCGACTACCCGCTTCGTTTCGTTCATCGACGACATGGTTCAAAACGACACCGTGGCAGAGGCCGTCAAGTCTTACTGCGGAGAGGGCGGGACACTCGAGGTGCAAAAAGATGTCGCTGGCAACCTCGACAACGAGGAGAAGTGCATCATCTACTCTCCGAGCGGCGACCTCGACTGCGTACCCCCCTTCATGGTCGGCTCGCCGCACCACCGAGACGAGGACGGGAACCTCACCGGACGCGAGGCTTGCTTCAAAATCGTCGGAACCTACCTCGGCGACACGGAGGCTGCCTCGGAGGCGATTGGCAAACGACTCGCCAAAAACCTCCGTCCGCTCGACTTCATCGACACGCTCGAATGCACCGAGGGCATTCAGAACGTTGGACACCTTAAGTACAACCTCATCACCCGTCAGGCCTGCCCAAAGACGAAGTACATCTGCTCCGTCACGCCACCAGAGATCAGCGAGGGCCCGGCCATCGACGGGAGCAACCGGATCCGCAAATCGTGGGAACTACTCACGGAGGCAGAGGATACTCCTGCCAAATACAAAGACCTGGGTTGGAGGCAGGCCATGCTCCCTACCATCACGGGAGGCTCCGGCGTCGACACGGGCGTCACATCAGTCGGCGTGCCCAACGACACCGGTGGGGGCCGCACGGGCGTGCGCGGCCCCGCCGAGGCCTACTACATCTCCCTCCTCAAATGCTGGTCAAAGCTTGTGGCCTGCAGCCCAGACCTCGCCGAAGCCGAGCGCTCCGGCGGGTACGGTGCACGAGACGCCGCCGTCAACTCGTACAGAGCCGCGCTCTCGAGGCGAGACGAGGTGGCCTCCATCAGAGCCGCGCGCGACGACAACATCTACTACACCTTGCGCGGCGGCAAGATCTCTGAGTTCTACCCCAAGGGCGTCAGCCTCCCCACTTCTGAGTCTCTTCCAACACCGGAGTCAGTCATCGATGGCACTTGCAAATCAGGAAGCCCGTGCGCGCGGGCGCTTGCTGCCATCGAGACTATCTGGAACTGGTTCGATCTGCAGAAGGAGTGGCGCGCCCTCGACGACTACACGGCAGCCAACTGGCAGCCCGGCGACACCAAAATACGTCTACGCGAGTCCATCCGCTACGTCTCAACTGCGCAGCCTTACGCGGGGCGGTGGCTCGACACGAAACTCGACGGCAGCAATGCCACATGCATTCCAGACGACATATTCATCGGCGAGCTTCAGCGCCGAAACGGCCTTCACCTCTCGCAGTGCCGCTCGACTGTCACGCGGGCACTCGAGCTTGGGGACACAGTCGGTGGTGCAAAGGACTACCATGGCGACTGGTTCCTCAACAACGCCGCCCGGCGGCGCCCACACGACGGCGTACTTCGCGCCTGGTACGATTGTGTCCACGCCGTCTCCGTCTCCCGGCCCGTCATGGGAGATGCCGAAAAACCAGAACTCACCAAACAGTTCAACGAGGGCTACAAAACCGACCTGGCTGAACCGGGCGAGGCTCCCGGGGGCAAAGACGAGATCAGTGAGGTCAAACTTTGGACCCCCCTGCGGGGTGGCTTGCCCGTTGGGGTCGGCCGCGCCGACACCGGAGGCAACCCCGGCTCCGTTGGAGACAAGTTCGCCTTCGGCAACACCGAAGAGCGCGCCCGCCTTGCAAACATGGGCTGCAAGCAACGCGGGTTCCGTGGTCAACGGGCGTTCGACCACACCACCGGCCAAGGCTACGTCAAGTCACAGCGTGGCCACTACCATGATGGGATCTTCACCAAACGCAACAAGTTCAACCTGCTTCTCCACGAGACATTCGGCGGCGGCTTCTCGCCGCCAGCAGTTGCAAAGATCAACCGCCTTGCGCGCAAGGCTCAACGCTCGGGCGTTGACCGCACCGCGTACCCTCCCCACTCCCGCCTCTCATTTGTGTCACACCACGCGGAACGCATCTCCATCGCTTCGGTGAAGGGGGTGAACCGTGCCATCCTCGATCGCCGTGCAAAGCTCGCTTCCGAGCTCTCACGCCGCGCGTAGGGCCCTTAGGAGCCTATGTATGTATGTAGTAAGGTGAAGAACAGTCAGGCTCGGACTGGACACCAACGCGGTATGGGTGGACGCAAGACAGATGATGACGACACGCACGAGCGACACACAGACACAAACAAGCTCACAAGACACACAGCCAGCGGGCTGCCACACATCCTGAGTGGGCGTACACATCACTCAGGCCACGTCCCCCCTGTCGCCCCCCCC